AGTCGTTAAGCGTCTGCCTTCGGCTCAGGTCATGATCCCGGGGTCCTGGGATCGAGCCCCGCATCGGGCTCCCTGCTCCGCGGGAGGCCTGCTTCTCCCTCTGCTGCTCCCCTTGCTTGTATTTCCTCTCTCCCTGCCTCTCTCTCTGCCAAATAAATAAATAAAATCTTTAAACAAAAAAATAAAAATAAAATAAAATATGCTGCTAGGAGAATGGATGAACGCTGAACTGGGTATATAGGATATATCTCGGAAACAGTGTTAGGCACTTAAGAAAGAAACTCGCAGGGTATGTACTACAGAGCCATTTGTGTGAATAAAAACAAACACTACTGTAAATTGCTTACAGATGCTTACATAGTTTATAAAATTAATGCTTCGGCTACCCACGAAACCCAAACTCAGGGACCTGCTGGAGGGTTGGGGGTGGGGAAGAGTTAGTGAAGGAATAGGGAGGAGAACTTCAAGCAAACTCTGGAATGTCCTATTTCCTCAAAAGAAAAATCTGAAGCAAATATACACGCTAAAATGCTAGCATTGTGCTTTCTGCACGTTACGCACATCGGTGTTTGTTTTCGCATCCTGGGTCCTTTTCAGTTTGAGCGCAAGGCGGGCAAGTTGTTGTTTTCTATTGCTTTCACTATTTAGAAAAGAGTTGGTTGAGAGAAGGATTGAGGCCACATCCCCCAGCGACCCAGGGCTGGAGCGCCTCCGCACAGCGTCTCTGGGGTCCGGCCCTCCAGGGCACCCCGCGCGTGCAGGCGCGGCCCGGGTCGCGGCGAGCAGCGTGGCGCCCCTGGCGGCGAGGCCGAGCGCGGCAGCCCCGACGGCCCGCAGTCCCCCGCAGGTGGCAGGTGCACCCCGGGAGAGCACTTGGCGCCCGCTCGCAAGGCTGGAGAGGGGCGAACGCTCTGCTTCCGAAATGCTGCTCTTAAGGGTCTACCCTGGAGAAACAAATACGTGCCAAAGGAGACGTGTACAAATGTTTTTTGCAGCGGCGTTTAGAATGGCCAAAAATCGAAAACGGCACCACTATCCATCATTAGGAGAATCGATAGTTAGAGGCATGCATCCGATGAAAGGCTGGTGGCGGTGGGAGCGACAGCTAGAGCCCCGTGTGTCAGCCCGGACCCATCGCCCAAGCCATGCCCCAACCTCCCACAATAAAATACCATTTACGTAAACTTTAAACAAGCCCCCAAATACTATCTATTGTTGACGGACACACACGTGTAGTGAAAGTGTAGAAACAGACATGGCAATGACGTATACCAAGTTCAGGGGTTACTTCTGGAAAGGAGACAGGAGGGGGGCGGGACTTCAGCTGATTCCATACCACTTTATTTAAGAAAACAAAAATCTAAAGCAAATGTGACATTTTGGAATTAAATAGAGCTGGGGGGTGGGTACCCAGGTGTTTGTGTTGTCCGCTTTGATTTCCAGAATGTTGAACACCATTGCACACACACATGGGCAGAGCCCAGAGGCGGAGGGAAGAGCCAGTGAGGGCCCAGAGGAGGGAGGAGCTGCGGTTGCTAGCAGAACCCAAGGGGCCTCCTGGCACAGGGGGAGAAGGCCGTGGCCTCCCATAAGGCTGGAGAGGGAGACAGGGCCCAGCCTGCCCCGCAGGATACAAAGGGACGTGTTTTACTCTCTGGTGATGGAGAGACGGTGGGAGTTTTAAGCAGAGGGGTATTTGCGTTGGGTCTGTTTATATTCTGAGTGGGTCACTTCTTTCTTCCGTGTGGGAAATGTATGGGAGCAGGACCAGGGGCTGGGAAAAGAAGGAAAGAGGCTCTTCCGGCAGCACTGGCGAAAGCTGTGAGGGCTCCCCAGAGGCGGTGGCAGTGAAGATGGGGAGAGTGAGGGGGATCTGAGGCACACTTTGGAGAGGAGCCTATAGAGCTGGGGGAGAGATCCTGGTGAGGGTGACTCTGGAGTTTCTGTTGGACTCGCGGCTGGCAGAGGAGGAGGGCAGCGGGGCAGAGGAGGGCGCTGGAATGGGCCGTCTGTGTATTTGTTCACCCCCAGTGAGGAGGAGACTGCAGGGTTTTATTTGGGAAATGCTGCTACCCAAGGGCTGGAGGAGAGCCTACCTGTATATTCCAGTCTGAAGTCCACAGGAGAGGTCGGTCATGTCAGGACATAGGAATTTGGGGTTTAAAGCCACTGGACTAGGGCGCAGTGGGCAGTGGACCGAAGGGAAGGGGAGGGGTGGGGAGGGCGCCCAGGACTGAACTCGGAGGACCCGTCCCCCCACCATGCAGTGTCAAGAAGAGGAGGATCTGGCTAACAGACTGAGAAGGAGCTGGAGGTGGGAGAAAGTCAGGAGCGGGTAGGATGGACGCCAGGGAAGAAAAGCCATTGGCGAGGGAAGCAGGGTTCAACGTTGAAAATGCTGCCGCGCAGCTGGGTCATCAGAGGGCGGAGCTCTGCCGCTCCAAGCCACCACAACTGAGCCATTGTGATGCTGACCCAGGAGGTTCAGGGGTGTGGCGGTCAAAGCCAGACCATCCACGAGGCCGGCGACCCCTGAGAGGCGGGGCAGCAAAGGGAGGAGAACGGTGGGGTGGGAGCCGGAAGGGGGCGAGCAAGGCCGAGGGAGAGGTCTGTCTTGTTGGGGATGACATCTGCGTGTCCCTGTGCAGATGAGGACAGGAGCACAGAGTAGGACTGGTGGGGGGACGAGAGGGTAAGGAAGGCAGGGAAGAGCGCTTTGGGAGGAGGGAGGCAGAGCAAAACCCAAGCCCCAGGACAGATGCAGCTGAGCCAGGGTTCCTGTCTGACTGCAAGTGCCACACTCTTGCCCAAACATCTCACTGCCTCTTCTTAGTTTGTTCTTGCTCCCGGGCATTTGGCTCCCGGGGCCCAGCATGCGAAACCCTTTATGGCCACCTCCCCTAAATACATGTCTCACAGCCTTTCCGCTTCCATTCGGGCTCCATGTCTACCCAGGGAGCTGGAGGAGAAAATGAGCAAACTGCAGAAAATGAAATCTGACCTATTATATGCATTCTGTATAAATGCATGAAATAGATTATGTTTGACAGTGGTAAACAGAGAACCCAAAAAAATCCAATTTATCACTTTAATTATATATGCTTTTCTTCCTCGATCTCCAGGGAAGAATGTGCCTGCATCCACTTCCAGCCCCTTCTGCAGAGCTGTTCCCTACTTCCTAAGCCTGCCTCCGGGGACTGCAGGCTTCTGGCCAAGGCTGCCCTATCTGGAGCTGAGAAATGTGTAGTACGCTGCTCGGGATGGTGCACGCAGGGAGGAAAGTAATGGGCGTGTGGATGTGAAAAGTAAGGACATGGTGATGGGGGTGGACTCGTGATTCAAAGGAGCAGCACAGATGAAGCTAGCCTAGCATCCAAGTAACTCAGTACCTTTAGGTCAGGAAATACCACCTAAAATGCACCGATTTAGGAAGAAGAGAATGAGAGGGTGGGAGGGCTGAAGGAGGGCACATGAGACCTCAGTTCAGCAGACCTCCCACTGCTCCCACACAGGAGCAGGGCCGACGTAGGATCCGCTTTCCGTCAGTCTCCACCCCACACCCACCCTCTGTGCCAGGCACCGAAGGTACAGCAAAGAACAAGACAAGCGTGATCAGTGCCCTCAGCAAGCCAGCAGTCCCGAGGGGTTTCATAAGAGAGGCGATCAATGCCGATGGACAGATGGATGGGTGGACGGATGGACATGCTACTTGTGGGGACAGGATGTGTGGCACCTGACCCAGCCTGGGGGTGGGGGGAGCACAGTGGTCAGGAATGTTACATAAACTGAAATCTGGGGCATGATCCGGCTTTCGCCAGACTGGCAATGGGGGCGGACAGCGGGGAAATTACACACAACAGAAATACAGATTGTGCGTACGCACGTACGCACATGCACAATGGCTGTCATCCGAAAGGGTCATATTCAGAACATTTTTGCTGAGCTCGTGTGCGCTTTGGGGCAGATCAGAGTCATGACACCACGTTTCAGACCTGCACAGCAGGGTGGTGACTGGTGCTGCCGACCAACACAGGCAACATCAGAAAAGGACCAGGTTGGAGGCAGAGGCTGGGTCCAGTCTTGACATGCTGAGTTTAAGGAGCCTCTGAGACCCCATGCATTTTATGCCATTGACCAGTGTTCTGTTTAAATAGAACTTTCTCTATGTGCCCCAAAGCCAAACAGATTGGGAAGCATGGTGGGTATTCCTAAATCAGTGGATTTTAGGTCAGATTCCCCAACATGAAGGCGCTTGGTTGACTCTGAGTTAGCCAAGCATCCAAATAACTCAGCACCTTTATTCCTTCCTTCGTGGCAGGGGGAGGTGGTCGGTTTCGGGGGGGGGGGGGGGGCTGCCACTTCATCTGTGCTGCTCCTTTGAGTCCCGAGCCCACCCCCATCACCATGTCCTTACTTTTCACGTCATGCACGCCCATTACATTTTACCCCCCAGGTAAGTCGTTTCACACTCCAAACACGGGGTTACAGCCTGTGGTAGAAAGACGCGCTTGGGACTTGTTGCCTTGGAGGCCACCACTTAGACCACGGCCACAGATGAGAATAGTTCGTGAGAGAGTGTAGAGTACAAACAGAAAGGGCCTGCGGCCAGGGTCCGCAGAACTCATTCAAAGCTACCAGAGGAGGGAGGCTGAGAGAGCGGGAAGGAGTGGCCAGAGAGCGGGGACGAAACCAGGAGCGGCGTCCAGGTGCCCTGGTGCCTGGTGTTTAAGGAAGGACGGGGTGGTCCGCAGGAACGATGGGGGCAAACAAACAGAGCGAGAACGAACAGCTGTCTGCCGGATGTGCAGACAGAAAAGTTAGTATGACCCTGGGAGTACGCGGCTCCTAAGAAGATGGAGGCTAGGATTCACTTTGAGGAGGAGAGCTGGGTGTACAGAATGCTGTGTGTGCAACAGTGTAATCGTCTACCTGATGCTAGAAATCAGAGGTCATCATTACCTGGTCACAGGTTGTCCACCTGAGTTCAGTGAGATTAAGCCACTGCCCCAGGTCCTCCACTTAGTAAGCAGCAGAATCTGGATTAGAACGCACTCCGGAACTCCTAACAGTTATGCTCTGGTGTATCTCGAAGCTCAGAGTGTGCGAAGCCTGGAGACACAGACAGGAATTAGACTTGGCCCTTGCGTTTGGGAGGTCACAGACTGGAAATCGAGAAAGACAATAAAATAATCGCGATGTGGCAAAATAGAATAATGGAGGCATTTAAAAAATACTTTAAGAGTCACAAAGATTGTACTGAGTATAAGCAGGAGCTAAAAAAAGAAAGCTGGGAGGTGGGCGGGTAGAGAACGACCTTCCGGTATTAATGGGCTCCCTAGCGCGGTGGCTGTCCATGTGGCCACAAGGGGTCGCTGCAGACCTGACACACACACACACACACACACACACACAC